TACCGAACTTTGTGAGATAAGACATTAAGAAAGTCTTCTATTGTATCCACTATGCTAATGGGGTTGTCTTAGTTGAGAAAAAAATGTTTGTTTACCATGTACTTTGTAACTAAAATACGATTTATAGATTGAAAAAAATGTTCTACAGCTAATGCAAACAGTTTTTCATAATTGGCAAGTTCTTTATAAAGTTACTAATAGACTCAATTAATTATAGAATAGAAATGTTTGCACTTCATCTAAACAATTATGATAAGAGAATACATAATCATGAGCTTGGATGAAGGTAAACGTTGAAACTATTTGGCTGAACAAAAGATAAAGTTCATCACCTGGTATTCATTCAAAAATGTATTAACTCTTGGCATCGGAAGGAAGTCAGTCCCACAAAATTAGGAAATTGAATTCATTCGATTAAAATTAACAAGTTATTGATATATATTTAGTTATTATTATAATTACTAAATTTAAAAATCAAAATTTGTTATAAAAATTTATATTTATTAAATTTAATTTAAATGTTATATATTTACTAAATATATAAAAATAAAAACAAAAAAAAATTCAAAACTAAAACTAGACTGTAAAAATTTGAAGTTTGGAGTTCTATATTCTTGAGATATACTCTACATCAATTATTAGAAACTACATATTTTTAATTGAAAATTCATAATTATCAATTATGAAAGTTGCATTAATTGAATTTGATAATAAAATATATATACTCCTACTAAATATTTGCTTTTTAGTATTCGGTGTGTCAATTTGAGGAAGTAATATACCAAATAAAAGAAGACTATGACAGTGATATTCCGGGTTTACATTAACTATATATGATTTTCCTCTTCTCCTACATGAAAAATTGTCAAATTGGCAATGTATATATATATATAACAATGAAGTAAATAACACACTATCATTAATGAACTAAGGCAATTACCATCAACATATATGAAGGGCTATGATAATTAGAAGCAAACAATGTATTTATTTATTCATAATAAAATTGGATATTACAACATTGAAGGTATTTGATAA